CCGCCGTAGCGGCGGGCTCGTGCTGACACAGCATGGTGAGGCCGCCAACCATCATCCCGAAATCGCCGTCTTTTGAGGGGTCCTCTGAAAACACCCGCTCCGCCGCGCCCGCGACGCGCCGCAGCGCCCCGCCCGCCCCCGCTTCGGCGACGGCCCGCGCCATGTCCTCCGCTGCCACGCCGGCACGCGAGAGCCACTCCCAGGCGTTGAGCGCGATGGGGACGAACAAATCCACGCCCGCCGCAGCGATCAGGCCGCGCAGCGCCCCCGGCTGGCGTACGACCTCGGCCGCGGCGGCGGCGGCGGCGGCGGTCGGCACGGCGAGCAGCATCTTGGACAGCGGGCCTGTGGCGCGGTTGCGCTCGGTCTCGTCGCTACCGCCCAGCAGCCGGCCAACTGCAGCGGGGACGCCGGATGTCTGCTTGCCAGCGAGTGCGGTGTGTGCGCAGGCGGCGACCAGGTGAGCGGAGGAGGCCAGTCGAGCACGGAACCAGTGAAGCGTCGCGCATCAGAGGGTGCGGAGGGATGCGCGCCCCTATGAAAGTCTGCTTTGCCAGCCGCACGTGTCGCATGCACGCAGGACACTGGGGGCGGGAGGGGGGGATTGTGTGGCGGGGGCCGATAGGGCCGTTGAGGCTGCTGGAGGGTGCTGGCGGCCCGTGCTGTCACCCACCGTTGCTATGGCTGTGCAGAATAGGACCTGCTCTTCAGTTGTGTGGGTTTGCGGCATGGCCGCAAACACGCACGGCAGCGCCAGCAGTATGCGCAACCGCAGCGCCGTGTCGTGGCTGGTGATCCCGCGCACGAGGGCGGCGGCGCGCCCGGCGGTGCGGCAGACCTGACGAGCGATCACTTCACCGTTTCCGGCTTCTGCCGACAAGCAGGCGCATGTGGCGCGGGCGGCGATTTCGTAAGCCTGCTCGGATACTGGGCTGCTGAGGTGCGACAGCAGCTTGTCAAAAGCGACGGCGCTGATGGCCTGGACGCCCCCTGGGGAGCGGCGCAGCGCTGCGCCGCGCCGCCGCCGCATCCGCCTGGGCAGGCTCCTGTGCCTCCAGGGCGGTCAAGAGGGCTGCCAGCTGCCCTGTCACGTTCCAGCGTGCCATTTACGAACGGGCGTGTACGCTGCCCGGCACGGTGCATGCAGTTCGCAGCTACCGCACGGCAGATCGCTGGAATGAAAACAGCATGTGACAGATAAACTCCGTCATAGCATGCATGTGAGCGTTTCATACATCCTGTACACGTCTAGCGCCCACAAACCGTCTCGTCCGTTTGTCATGAGTGACAGTGAGGTGCTGCGTGACCAGGTGGACAGCGCATGTGGCGTGCCGGATGCTTATGCATGACAACGCGCCACAGGGTCTATCTATCGGCAAGGTGAGGATCATTGGCGGGTAAAACTGTGATACGCGAGCCGCCCGCTCAGACCAGCCTGCGTCCTCGCGCTTGCATCATTGCATCAATCCCTGTCACCTGCGCAGAACGGCGACGACGAACGCCCGAACATCGGGAACGACGCCACAACTACACAACGTAGACTGAACAGGTCCCTCCTCTGATCACATGGATTCCAACTCACAGACGACCACGTGTTGACCTCCTCATGTATCTGTGGCTCCAGGGTGCAAGCGCCGCAAACCCTGCAGCCGTCGGCCAAGCGCGGCCGCGTTTGCAGCCCACCAAAATATGACTGCTGCCGCGTCTCGGGCGCGCCCAGGCGCCCGCCTCCATTTCTTGGGACCCAACCAAATGGGAGTTACAGGAGTTTAGGTTGCAATGACAGCAGTGAGGCCACAGCTGCACAGCCGTGGGGGCCGCCCTCGTGGTCAACACGGCGTGAGTCAATTGGCAAAGCATCCAGTGCCTCTTGGCCGCTGCTGTCGAGTTCCCAGATCTCCGCTGCTGCTCAGGCGCATGGACCTCCGCCTGGGCAGCCGCCCCGGCGCTGCTGCCGCTATCAATGCCACCGCGTCCCCCAAAGTCAAGAACCGGCGGCTGCCCTGCAGCGGATAGCAGACGCTGCTGTTGCCCCTGCTGTGGGGACGTCTGCTGCGGCGGGGACTGGCTGCCAGGCGAGCCCAAGCGCGGCTTGTCAGCTTCAAGCAGCTGCAGCTGCTGCCGCATGTTGTCGTGCATGCGGCCGAGCAGGTGCATCTTGACCCGCCCGGTCAAACACCATTTTCAGCCTATTGATGCAGCTCCTCTGCGACGCAAGTCATAGCGGGTTTTATCGACAAGGTTCATCATCGCCTCCTATCCTGGCATGTTGATGTTGTTGACATTTGCTCTGTCTCGCCCTGCAGTACAGTACAGAGTTGCGCCGTTACAGACTCCGTTTCGTGCCGTGCATGACTTGGACAAGCGTAGGAGGGAATCAAGAGTGCCGGGTTTGTCAGCGCCGGTGAATGAAGTACCACGGCTTGGGGCACCCCCACCCCAAGAACAATCAGGCAGATGCGCATCTCTGGCGCAAACAGGGCGCATCCCTGCTGCACAAAAAAATGCGCACTCGCCAGGCGCCGCAGGCGAAATTGCAATGATAGTACAGCAGCCATAGGCACAACGCTGGGGTAAAGAACAAAGTAGAAGCTATAAGGGCAGGTGCCAGAGATGAAACATGGGACGGCGCCAAACAAACGCTGCTGCTTCATTATCACTGTTGCTGGTGCTGGTGTTGGTGCTGATGCTGGTGCTGCTGCTGTTCCACCCCTTGCTGAACCTGCTGTGGCGGTGGCGGCTGTTTCTGCTGCTGCTGCTGCTGCTGCTGCTGCTGCTGCTGCTGCTGCTGCTGCTGCTGCTGCTGCTGCTGCTGCTCCTTGCACTCCTTCTTGTGCGCCGACCAGGCTGCCCTGGCGCACGCTTCGCCGCAGTACCTGCAGTCAGCAGGCGGAATCAGGGGCACGAGTATAGATGTACCGCATGGTTGATTGGTCAGCATTGACAAAGCCGGCTCGGTGTCATCCTCGCAGGCTCACACAAAAAGGCAGCCGTCTGTCAGGGCTTAAAGTCAACACGCCAAGGATGATGGCAGGTGGTGATGAACGCGCCGTATGCACCCGTGTCCCATACTGATACCCTTACTCATTCCCCAGCACCCCAGCGCACCTGACTTTGCGGCAGCCGGCGCAGGCCTTGGGCGCCCGCCCCAGCTGCGCCTCTGTCTGGCCGCAAACTGCGCATGACCTAATAAGCTTCCCTTTTGGGTGAGCAGACGGTGCAGCCGTTGCCTGCTGTGACGTGCTGGCGGCAGCGGACTCCGCTGCCTCGTCGCTGCTGCTGCAACCGCCACTGCTGGCCATGGCGCCGGGCCCTGCGCCGGCACCCTTCCCGCCGGCGCCGCCGCCACCGCCCGAGCCTGAATCGCCTGCGCACGTCCCCCGGCTCGCGTCGAACGCGGCCAGCCCCGCCGCAGCCTCCCCCGCGACGATCCTGTCCGGCGCGCGCGAGAGCATGCTCAGCCAGCGCCGCAGCTCCGCCAACGCCGCGGCCAGCGCCCCCGGCCCGCCGGGCTCGCCGGCGCATGCAGCGGCGCAGCCCCCCTGCGTTTCATCGCTGGCGCACGCCGCCGTTTCCAGCATCGCCAACGTCCTGACAGGCTTCAGCCCCGACTCTACAACTGCCGCGTCCCCGCAGCCGGCCACGAACGCGCATAAGCCCCGCAGCAGCCCAGGGTGGCGCGAGAGCAACTTGAGAATGACTGGCGGAACGGCGCCCATCACTTCCAGTGCCCTTGCGACACGCGCCGCGCCGTGCGCCGCAGAGAGCGCCGCAGACACGAGGTCGAGCGCCCAGGACGGCGCTGCTGGCAGGGGTGCGGACCCCGTGCCACCGGCGCCGCTCGCTGCTGCATCGAGGGGCAGCTTGATGGCCGCGAGCGACGCCCACATGGCCGCCGCCCATGCAGCCTCGCTATCGGGGCCGCCGTCGCTCCCGTCGGAGGTGACATCCCCCTCGGTCGCGCCGCCGGCAGCCAGCGGCACGGCGGCGGCGGCAGCAGCGGCAGCGGCAGCGCGCAAGGCGTTCGGGGCGCCAAGGGCCAGCAGCGTGGCAGCTGTGGCAGGCATCAGGGGGTGACACATCAATATGCTCGCCCTCCTGCGCAGTGAGTGCGCAGCGAAAGCTGGGGCTTGGCGCCGCATGCCGCAACCCCAGGGGCGGGGCCGTCAACTCAACACGCACTCGTTTGCCAACCAGCAGGCGATGCCCCTGCTCGCAACCGGGCTGCGTGCAGCAGACGGCGGGCGTGTCCGGAGGTACAGGCCGCCCGCTCCCTCCCCTTCCACGCGCCCCTGGCTCACTCTGTGAGTTCCCAATTCAGTTTGCGCAGCGCCGAGACCGCGACAGGAGCCATCAGGGGGACCGACCAGACGTCATCGCCGTCCCATATGAGCCGGAAGGCGAGCAGGCACACATCCAGGTCCGCTGACGCAGCGGCGCGCACGACCTCGGCCAAAAGCCGAGGGTCGCCCAGGCTTCCGCCACCGCCGTCGCCCTCCGCGCCGCCGCCGCCGCCGCTGCCGCAGGGGTCACCTCCTACGCGGCGCGGCGCCGCCCTCCACGGGCCCTTGAGCGCAAGCAGCAGCCTCAGCGCGGCCGCGGCGCGGGTGCCGCTGCGCAGCGCGCCCCTCATCGCGCTCACCACCCCTGCGTTCGCGGCGACCGCCGCGGCGGCGGGCTCGTGAAGGCACAGCGCGGTGAGGCCGCCGGCCATCACCAAAAAGAGATCGTCGTTCGCGGGGTTGCGGGAAAACAGCCGCTCTGCCGCGCCAGCGACGCGCGTCAGTGCCCCGCGAGCCCCCGCCTCGGCGACGCCCCGCGCCAGGTCCTCTCTCGCCACGCCGGCCGGTATGAGTTCCTGCCAGGTGTTGAGCGCGACCATCGCGAACATGTCATTGCCTGCAGCCGCGATCAGGCCGGGCAGCGCCCCCGGCTGGCGCACGACCTCGGCGGCGGCGGCGGCGGCGGCGGGCGGCGCCGCATTCAGCATCTTCAATAGCAGGCCGGTTGCGAGGCTGCGCTCGGCCTCCTCGCTGCCGCCCAGCAGCCGGCCCACTGTGGCGGGTACGCCGGGCGCCTGCTCGTCAGCAAGCGCGGCGCGGGTGCGCCAGAGGAGGTGAGCAGAGGAGGCGCGTCAAGCACGGGTGGCGTGCAGCGTCGCGCGACACACAGTGCAAGGGGCGCGCGCTCCTGTAAGAGCCTTCTTTGCCGACCGCATGTGTCGCATGCAAGCGGCACGCTGGGGGCTGGGGAGGGCTGGGCGGCGTGGGACATTGAGGCCATTTGGGGCTGCTGCCCGAGGACGGCGGCGACACGAGCTTTCACCCACCTCGGCTATGGCTGTGTCGAATCGGATCTGCTCCTGCTCTGAAAAGGTGTGCAGCATGGCCGGAAACACGCACGGCAGCGCCAGCATAATGCGCAACCGCAGCGCCGCGTTGTGGCTGGTGATCCCGCGCACAAGGGCGGCGGCGCACCCGGCGGCGCGGCAGATCTGCGTAGCAAACCGGCTTTCATCATCACCCTCCGCCACCAAGCAGGCAGATGTGGCGCACGCGGCCACTTGGTAGGCCCTCTTGGACACCGGGCTGCTGAGGTAGCACAGCAGCTTGTCAAAAGCGGCGGCGCTGATCGACTGCACGCCTTCTGGGGAGCGGCGCAGCGCTGCGGCAAAACGCACGGCCGCAGCGTCGGCCTGGGCAAAATCTTGTGTCTCTAGGGCGGCCAACAGGGCTGCCAGCTGTCCTGCCACGTTCCAGCGCGCCATTTTTAAATCCTGGGCGTGCACGCTGCCCGGCACGGTTCATGCAGTTCGCAGCTACCGCACGACAGATTGCCAAGATGGGAAAATGATTATGCATTCATCATACGAACGTGCCACCCACACGCGCCGTCTTGTCGGTGGGAGCGGGCTGTTGCAACGGGTGACGGCGCAAGTTGCGAGCTGGGGTGTGCCCTGCAGCAACATGCTGAACCGGGATGCTCATGCATGTAGACGCGCCGCAGGGTCCATCGATCCTGCAAGATGAGGATTGTTGGCAGGGAAGACTGCGGGGCAAAAGCCGCCCGCTGACACCAGCCTGCATAACATCCGCGCGCCGGCAATAACAATCGCGCGCACATCTGGAACGACGCCACAAATCCACAACTAGACTGGAAAGGTTTCTCCTCCAACCACATAGATTCCAGCACCCAGAAGACCGCGTGTTGACCTTCTCATGTTTGTGTGTGTGTGGCTCCGAGGTCCAAGCGCCGCCCTCCCTGCCAACTCTGCAGCCGTCGGCCAAGCCCACCCGCGTTTGCAGCCCACCAGAACCTACCGCCGCGGCCTCTCGGTACACGCGCACCACAGCCTCTCCGTATGAAAGTCCGAAAAGGGTGTTACAGACTCCAATCGACGACGTGCATGACATTTGAAAGCGTGGGAGAAAACGGAGAGCGCCGCATACATGGGTGCTGGTGCATGCGCAGGAAGTACCACGGCTTGGGGCACTCCCACCCCATGAACGATCAGACGGTTGCGCATCTGTGGCTCAAGGAGGGCGCACTCCTGCTGCAGAAGTAAATATGCGCACTCGCCAGGCGTCGCAGGCGAAGATGGGATGAGAATGAGCAGCCATAGGCAAACAACTGGGATAAAGAACAAAGCAGAAGCTGTAGGGGCAGGTGCCCCAAGTGAAACATGGGACAACGGCATGCAAACGCTTCTGAAACAACAACACTGCTGCTGCTGCTGCTGCTGCAACAACATCACAGCTGCTGCTGCACAGGTCGAATGAGTCGTGGCTGGTGCTCCGGCGCTAATTGTTGCCGGCCCCCTGCCCCCCCTCCCCACCGCACAACATTCAAAACCTCGCATATTGATTTCGTCGGACGACAGCTTCATCTGTCCCAGCAGTACAGTACAAAATTGTATTAATACATACTGCATTTGATGCAGTGCATGACGACGAAGAGCGCAGGGGAGAAGCGCGCATGCAGCATTTGTCGAGACTGGCGCATGCGCAGGAAGTACAAGCATTCCCTCGAAAGAAACTCATTGGTGCATCTGTGGCTCAAGGAGAGCAACATCAACAATGCTTCAAGGATCAAAAAATATACAAGGTCACCAGGCGTCGTAGGCAACAAGCGGGTGTTAGTGCGCCGGCCACAGGCGCAAGGGGCACAGATCAAACACAAGTTATAGCTGCAAGGCAACGCTGCTTGGACAACATCACTGCTGCTGCTGCTGCTGCTGCTGCTGCTGCTGCTGCTGCTGCTGAGCCTGCTGCGGCTGCGACTGCTGTTTTTGCTGCTGCTGCTGCTGCTGCTGCTGCTGCTGCTGCTGCTGCTGCTGCTGCTGCTGCTGCTGCTGCTGCGGCTGCTGCTGCTGCTCCTTGCACTCCTTCTTGTGCGCCGGCCAGGCTGCCCTGGCGCACGCTTCGCCGCAGTACCTGCAGCCAGCAGGAGGAATCAGGGGCGAAACAGTGTGGTTGATTGCTCAGCATTGACACAGCCAACCGAATGCCAACCTGCAGCCTTGTAGGTTTACGTTTTCAGGCGGCCGTCATTCATACTGCAAGTCTGAAAACGGTTGATCATGTGCGGTGGTGAACGCGCCAAATGCACTCGTCTCCCACACAAGTTCGCACACGCATTCCCTCGCACCCCAGCGCACCTGACTTTGCGGCAGCCGGCGCAGGCCTTGGGCGCCCGCCCCAGCTGCTCCTCTGTCTGGCCGCAAACAGAGCACGACCTGATGGGCCTGCCTCTCCGCTGAGGAGACAGTGCAGCCGTCACCTGCTGCGACGTACTGCCGCCAGCCGACCCCGGGGCCTCCCCGCTGCTGCCACCGCCACTGCTGGCCACGGCGCCGCGGCCTTCGCTGGCGCCCCTGCCGCCGTCACCGTCGCCGCCGTCGCTGCTGCCCCTGCCCGAAATGAATTTACCCGCACCCAGACGGCTCGTGTCGAACGCGGCAAGCCCCGCCGCAGCCTCCCACGCGACGGCCCTGTCCGGCGCGCGCGCGAGCATGCTCAGCCACCGCCGCAGCTCCCCCAGGGCGCCCGGCCCGCCGGGCTCGCCGCTGCAAGCGGCGGCGCAGCCGCCCTCCGCTTCGCCCGCAGCGCGCGGCGCCTTTTCCAGCTCTGCCATCGTCCTGACCAGCTCTAACCCTGACTCCACACATTCTGCGTCCTCAGAGGCGCCCACGAATGCGCCGACACCCAGCAGCAGCCCGGGGTGGCGCGCGAGCGCCCTGAGGACGTCGCCCGGGACAGAGGCCATCGCGTTCAGCGCCGTCGCGGCGTGCGGCGCGCCGCGCGCTCCGGAAAGCGACCCCGACACGAGCTCGAGCGCCCACGCCAGCGCGTCCGCAGGGGACGACGGCCCCGCGCAAGGGGCGTGGCTGGCAGCTGCCTCCCGCGGCAGCTTGATGGCGGCGAGCGCCGCCCAGAAGGCGGCCGTCCATGCGGCGTCGAGATCAGGGTCGCAGTCGCTCCCGTCCGAGGAGCCGCCACCCTTCGCCGCGCCGCGGGCGACGTGCGGCACGGCGGCCGCGGCGGCGGCGCGCAGGGCGTCGGGGGCGCCGAGCGACAGCAGCGTGGGGGCGACGGCGCCGGTGGGGAACATAGACACCATCATGCCCACGCTCCTGCGCAGGCATTGCATATAGCAAGCCGCCGCTTAGCAACTGGAGCTGAGCATCTGGGGCTCAGCATAGGGCGGACCCAGGAGGGCGGCCATCGACATGACATGCACCCCAATGCCTTCCTCGAGCAACCCGGCAGACAAGTCCCCTGCCCGCCGCTGGGCGGGCGAGCCGCCCGCTCCCCTCTTGGTGCGCGGCCCCAGCTCACTCTGTGAGTTGCAAGTCGAATTTCCGCAGGGCCGAGACCGCGACAGGAGCCAACAGGGGTATCGACCACATTTCATCGATAAGCCCTATAAAGCGCAAGGCGAGCAGGGACAACGTCGCGTCCGCCGACCCCGCGGCGCGCACGACCTCCGCCAAGAGCCGCGGGTCGCGCAGGTTTTCGGCGCCGCTGCCGCCGCCGCTGCTGCCACCAGCGCCGCGGGGGTCACCTCCGTCTCGCCGCGGCGCCGCTGCGTGCGCGCCCGCAGCGTTGGTCTTGAGCGAGAGCAGCAGTTTCATCGCTTCCACGGCGCGGCTGCCGCTGCGCAGCGCGCCCCTCAGCGCGCTCACCACCCCTGCGTTTGCGGCCACCGCCGTGGCGGCAGGCTCGTGCTGACACAGCGTTGAGAGGCCGCTGGTGAGCAGCAGAAACTCCTTCTCTTTCCAGGGGTCATCGGAAAGCAGCCGCTCCGCCGTGCTCGCGATGCGCCGCAGGGTGCCGCGCGCCCCCGCCGCGGCGACGCCCCTCGCCACGTCCTCCGGGGCGACGCCGGCCTGCACGAGTCGCTGAAAGGTGTTGAGCGCGATGAAGGCGAACGCGTCCACGCCCGCGACGGCGATCAGGCCGGGCAGCGCGCCCGGCTGGCGCACGACCTCAGCGGCGGCGGCGGCGGCGGCAGGCGGCGCGGCGAGCAGCAACTTTGAGAGCAGGCCGGTTGACAGGTTGCGCTCGGCCTCGTCGATGCCACCCAGCAGCCGGCCCACTGCAGCGGGCACGTCGGGCGCCTGCTCGCCAGCAAGCCCGGTGTGTGCGCAGGCGACGAAAAGGGGGGCGGAGGAGGCGCGTCGGGCACGCATTGAGTGCAGCGTCGCATGTCACAGGGCGCGGGGGCGCGCTCTTGTGTCTTCACTTTGCCGGATGCTTGTGCCGCAGGCACGCTGTGCTCTAGGGGCGGGGGGGGGGGTGGGCGGCGGGGGACAGGGAGGCCGTTGCTGCTGCCGCGGCGTGCTGGCAATACAACCTTTCACCCACCTCTGCTATGGCTGTGTTGAATTGGACCTGCTCTTGCTCCGTGAAAACTTGAGGCATGGGCGCAAAGAGGCACGGCACCGCCGCCACTATGCGCGAGCACAGCGCCGCGTCGTGGCTGGTGATCCCGCAGATGAGGGCGGCTGCCCGCCCGGCGGTGCAGCAGACATGCTCAGCGATCCGTCTGTCGTCGTCGCCTTCTGCCATTAAGCAGGCGCACGTGGCGCGGGCGGCGATTTCGTAGGCCCGCTCGGGTACCGGGCTGCTGAGGTGGCGCAACAACTTGTCAAAAGCGGAAGGGCGGATTGACTGAACGCCCTCAGGGGAGCGACGCAGCGCTGTGGCCAGGCGCACAGCCGCTGCGTCGGCCTGGGCGAGATCCTGTGCCTCCAAGGCGGTCAAGAGGGCTGCCAGCTGCCCTGTCGCGTTCGAGCGTGCCATCTTTGTCAGATGGGCGTGCACACTACCCGACACGGTTCAACGGTGCGTGCAATACGCAATTACCGCACGACAGACTGCAAAAATGGAAGCATGATAATGCTGTATTGGTATCAGGAGAGTACTGTATGTCACATTCACAAACCGTCTCGTTGGTGGGAGGCGGCTGTTGCGCGGAGGGTGGCGAGGTGAGCGGCGCTACTCGTACTGTTTGGTAGTGATCAAGTCACATGCGGGATGCTGAGGCATGACAACGCGCCGCAGGCTCCGTCAATCCTGCAAGATGATGCACTGTGCAGAGGAAAACATGTGAGACGACAGCTGCCTGCTCACACCGGCCTGCATCCTTGCGCATGCATGGAACCGTGGAACCTCTTCAATCGCTGTCGCGCTGCGGGCTGTTCTTGCGAGGAACGGCGACACGCATGGCCCGCGCATAGGGAGCGACGCCACACATGCACAAAGCAAATTGATTTGGTCTTTGTACGGCCACATGGGCTCCAGCACCCAGACGACCACGTACAGTATTGGCGTTCTCTAACGCGGCCAAGGGCCGCCCTCGCCACAGTTCCTGCAGCTGTCGCCCAACGCACCCGCGTTTGCAGCCCAATAGGACCTACAGCAGCCGCCCTCGGGTTTGCCTGCCGCCACCCTCCGTGCCACACAACCCAACCAAAAGTGAGTGTAAGGTACATTTGAGTCGCGACAATGGCACCAGTGAGACCCAGCTAACTAGCCTCGAGGGCCGCTGTCATGGCAAACATGGTGTCAGTCCATTGGCAAGCATTGCATCCAGTGCCTCTTGGCCGCTGCCTCACTCCTCACTCGCTTCAAAGTGCCCAGATTACCGCTGCTGCTCTGGCACCAGAACTGCCACCTGGACAGCCTCCTAGGCGCTGCTGCCGCTGCCCACGCCGCCCCGCCCTCCCAAACGGACGTCAAGCACCGACAGCTTCCCAGCGGCCAAACAGCAGCCGCAGCCGCCGCCGCTGCTGCTGCTGCTGCTGCTGCTGCTGCTGCTGCTGCTGCTGCTGCTGCTGCTGCTGCTGCTGCTGCGGCGGCGGCGGCGGCTGTGGCTGCTATGGGGACAGCTGTTGCGTGGCGCATTGCACGAAGAGAGCAGCAGAAGTCATGATAAGATGACATGCAGCACCAGCAGATGGATCGTTCTCAAAAGAAAGGCGATTTAGGCCATTGCACCCGAGCCATCGAGGCAATAACAAGCAAGCAGGTGCGGCTTATTTGCATGTGCAGCAAGGGAGCGAGAGCTCAGAGTTTCCCCTTAACTGCTGGTAGAGAGTTCAAATGTGATGAATGATTTGGGGTACAAGCTCATGACACTGCACCCTCCCGTGACGTCAGCGCTGTACAGGAAGAGGCCATATCAAAGGTTGGATGAGTCATGGCTGGTATTCTCCACGAGGTTCGGCAGCGCTTGACAACCCCAAGCAAGTGGTGATGTCTGTCGACAACAGCTCCGTCTCGGCCAGCAATTCAAACACAGAATGATGTTGTTACAGGTTCCAATTGGTGCATGAGAGCATAGGAGAGAAGAGAGAGTGCCGCATATATATGTGGGCAGTGGTGGATAGATGTGCAGGAATAATAATGGCTTGGGGAACTCTCTTCCCATGTACAATCGTGCGGCTGAACATCTGTGGCTCAGGGAGGGCACATTCCTGTGTTTGGAGTGAATATGCACATTTGCTAGGTGTTGCAGGCAAAATGTGGATGATGGTACAGCGGCGACAGGCACCAAACTGGGATAAAGAACAAAGTAGAAGCTGCAGGGGCATGTGCCACAGATAAAACATGTGATCGCACCAAGCAAACGCTTCTGCTTCGATATCACTGCTACTGCTGCTGCTGCTGCTGCTGCTGCTGCTGCTGCTGCTGCTGCTGCTGCTGCTGCTGCTGCTGCTGCTGCTGCTGCTGCTACTCCGCCACCTGCTGAGCCTGCTGCGGCTGCGCCTGCTGTTTCTGCTGCTGCTGGTGCTCCTTGCACTCCTTCTTGTGTGCAGGCCAGGCTGCCCTTGCGCACGCTTCGCCGCAGTACCTGCGGCCGGCAGGGGAGGATCAGGGGCGTGAGTGTACGGTCAATTGGTCGGAATTGACAAAGCCGGCACGACGTCATCCTGACAAGTTTGCATTGCAAGGCGGTTGTCGCTCAGAGCTTCAAGTCAACAAGCCAAGGCTGAACTTGGGCAGTAGTGAACGCGCTGAATGCACCCGTCTCCCACGCCCGTTTGTACACTCATTCCCCAGCACCCCAGCGCACCTGACTTGGCGGCAGCCGGCGCAGGCCTTGGGCGCCCGCCCCAGCTGCGCTTCTGTCTGGCCGCAACCTGAGCACGACCTCATGGGCGTCCCTTTCCGCTGAGGAGACGGTGCAGCCGTCGCCTGCTGTGACGTACTGGCACCGGCCGACCCCACTACCTCCCCGCTGCTGTAACCACCACCGCTGGCCACGGCGCCACGCTCTGCGCTGGCACCCTCTCCGGCGTTGTTGCCGCAGGCGTCGCCGACGCCCCTGCTCGAGCCGGAATCACCTGCACTTGCCCGGCCGCTCGCGTCACACGCGGCCAGCAGCCCTTCCGCAGCTTCCAAGGCGACGGCACTGTCGGGCGCGCGCGAGAGCATGCTCAGCCAGCGCCGCAGCTCCACCAACGCCGCGGCCAGCCCGCTGCGCTCGCCAGCGCCGTCACCCTCCGTTTTGTCGCCAGCGCGCTCCGCCGTTTCCAGCTTTGCCATTGACCTGACCAGCTTCAGGCCCCAATCCACAGCAGCCGCGTCCCCGCAGGCGCCCACAAACGCGCCGACGCCCCGCAGCAGCCCGGGATGGCGGGCCAGCGCCGCGAGGACGCCAGGCGAGGCGCCGCCCGTCACCTCCAGCGCCTTCGCGGCGCACGCCTCGCCGCACGCCCCGGAGAGCGCCGATGCCAGGAGGTCCAGCGCCCAGGGCGGCGCGTCCGCCGGGGGCGCGGGTCCCCCGCCACCGGCGCCGCTCGCTGCTGCATCAAGGGGCAGCTTGATGGCCGCGACCGCCGCCCGCAAGGCAGCGGACCAATCAGCTTTGCGCTCAGGGCCGCCTCCCGCGGCCGCAAGGTCGACGGCGGCCTCGGCGGCGGCGGCCGCAGCATTGGCAGCGGCGGTGGCGGCATTCTCGGCGGCGGCGCTGGCGGCGCGCAGGTCGTCCGAGGCGCCGAGCGCGAGCAGCTTGGCAGAGATGGCAGCGGCGGCGGCGGCGACTTTAGCGGAGGCGGCGCGCAGAGTTTCCGAGGCGTCGAGCGCAAGCAGCTGGGCAGCGGCGGCCGCGGCGGCGGTCGCGGCGGCGGCGGCGGCGGCCCACAGGGCGTCCGAGGCGCCGAGCGCGAGCAGCGTGGCAGCGGTGGCGGGCGTCAAGGGACGACACATCAGCAGGCTCGCCCTCCTGCGCAGAGAGTGCGTATAGCAAGCTGGGGCTTGGAGCCACATACAACAACCCCTGGAGCGCAGCCACCAACACGATGCGCAGGCCGATTCCCCCTCCTCGCAACCTGGCAGACGGGGCCGATGGCCCCTCGGCAAGCGAGCTTCGTGCCACATCGCGGGCGGCAGGTGTGTCGGGCGGTCCAGGCCACCCGCTCCTTGCTTCGCACACTGAGGCGCCTTATTCTGGGGGCCCGTGGCTCACTCTGTGAGTTCCCAGTACAGCTTGCGCAGCGCAGAGACCGCGACAGGAGCCATCAGAGGGACCGACCACACGCCATCGCCGTAGCCAATGAAGCGGAAGGCGAGCAGGCACACCCTCACGTCCTCGGACGCGGCGGCGCGCACGACATCGACCAAGAGCTGTGGGTCGCGCATGGTCCCCCCACCCTCGCCGCCGTCACCGCCGCCGCTGCAGTGTTTGCCTCCGTCGCGCCGCGAGCCGGCTGCGGGCGCGCTCGTGCTGTGGGATCTGAGCGCGAGCAGCAGCCTCATGCCGGCTTTGGCCCGGGCGCTGCTGCGCAGCGCGCGCCTGAGCGCGCTCATCACTCCTGCGTTGGCGGCGACCGCGGCCGCGGCTGGCTCGTGCCGGCACAGCGCAGCAAGCCCATTGGCAACCGCAGAAAAATCTTCGTCTTTCGCGGGGTCATCAGAAGCCAGAAGCCGCCCCGCCGCGCCCGCGACGCGCCTTAGCGCCCCGCGCGCCCCCGCCTCGGCGACGCCCCGCGCCAGGTCCTCTCTCTCCACGCCGGCCTCCACGAGCCGCCGCCAGACGTTGAGCGCGAGCACCGCGCACGTGTCGCTGCCCGCGGCCGCGATCAGGCCGGGCAGCGCCCCGGGCTGGCGCGCGACCTCGGCCGCGGCGGCGGCGGCGGCGGGCGGCGTAGCGTACAGCATCCAGGAAAACAGGGTTGTCGCGAGGTCGCGGTCGGTTTCGTCGCTGCCGCCCAGCAGCCGGCCCACCGCGGCGGGGACGCCGGGCGCCTGCTCAGCAGCAAGCGCAGGGTGAGAGCATGCGCGGCAACGATGAGCGAGCGGGGGGACTCGCGTACAGCACGCATCGAGTGCGGCGTCGCGCGCCGCAGGGAGCGGGGGCGCGTGCTCCTGTGAGACGACCCTTTGCGCGCCGCACGTGTTGCAGGCACGCTGCGCTCTGGGGGCCTGGAGGGGGGCCGCTGGGCGGCAGCGCGACGAGGCCTCTGTGGCAGGCGCGGGCTGCTGGCGGCGCGCGCTGGCACTCACTTCCGCTATTGCCGTATTGACTTCGATCTCCTGTTTTGCCGTGAGGAAGTTTGGCATGGCGAGAAACACGCCCGGCAGCGCCAGCAGTATGCGCGACCGCAGCGCCGCGTCGCGGCTGGTGAGCCCGTGCGCCAAGGCGGCGGCGCGCCCAGCGGACTGGCAGACCTGCCTGCCGATCGTTTGGTCCCAGTCCGATAACAAGCAAGCGCACGTGGCGCGGGCCGCGACTTCGTAGGCCCGATCAGATGTCGGACTGCTGAGGTGGCACATCAGCTTGTCGAAAGCGGCAGCGCTGATTGACTTCGCGCCCTCCGGGGCTCGGCGCAGCGCTGCGGTCAGACGCACAGCCGCTCCGTCGGCCTGGGCGGGCTCCTGTGCGTCGAGGGCGGTCAAGAGGGCTGCCAGCTGCCCTGTGACGTTGGAGCGTGCCATTTGTTTTTACTTGGGCGTGCACGCTGGCTGCCCGGCCCGGTGGACAGTTCGCAGTTACGAGGTACTGTACAGCAGGACAGCTTGCCAAAACAAAAGCGATATGGAAATTTACTGAAGCATTTATGCAGATATCAAAAATGTCGTGGTGTATTGAATCCACCGTAGGCTGCGCCAACGGCTGCACGTGGTGATGAAAGCTGGGTGACCGCGGGAAAAAATCGGGGGGCATAATGTGTCGGAGTTTGCTTCCGTGACAGACGTACGGAGCGGCTCGTTGTTGACGGTCAGCTGCTGCGTGGCGAGTATGAGAGTAACCGGTGACGGGCGCAAGGTGCACTGCAGGCATGACAACGAGCCGCAGGGTCCGTTCATCCTGCAAAACCATGGAGATGTTCTGTGAGATAACTATGTGAGACGACAGCCGCCCGCTCACGCCAGCCTACATCCTCGCACTTGCACCCTTGAACCCCTGCAACCCGTTGTCCTTGCACTGATGCACGCAACGGCAACACGAATAGCCCACACATCTGGGAATGGCGCCACAAACACACGACATACATCAAGTCGGCCCTTCCCCCAACCATGTGGGCTCCACCCACCAGACGACCCCATGCCGACCTTCTCTCGCGCGCCCCTGGCTGCCGGGTCCCAGCGCGAGCCCTCGCCGCAAACCCTGCAGCCGTCGGCCAAGCGCACCCGCGTGTGCGGCCCACCAGAACCTACCGCCACAGCCTCGCAGACATACGTGCACCGCAGCCTCTTTGTCTAAGAGTCCGACAGAAAGGGGGTTACAGAGGTTCCGCATCATGATGCCGGCACCGATGTGGCGCGGATGATCAGCCTCTAGGGCCAGAGTCAAAGCAAACACGGCGTCAGTCAAATGGCAAAGCATCCAGTACCTCTTGGCCGCTGCTGTAAAGTGCCCAGGTCACCGCTGCTGCTCTGGCGCAAGCACCTCCACTTGAACGGCCTCTCCTGCGCTGCTGCTGCTGCCCGCGCCGCCCCGCCCCCCAAAGTCAAGCACCGGCGGCTGCCCCACAGCAGACAGCAGCCGCTGCTGCTGCTGCTGCTGCTGCGGCGACGGCGGAGACTGGCTGCCAGGGGACCCGGGGTGCGGCTCGCCAGCTTCGGGCAGCTGCAGCTGCTGCCGCACGATGTCATGCATGCGGCCGAGCAGCTGCTTCTTGACCCGGTCAAACGCCATCTCCAGCCGCTGCAGCTCCTCTGCGGCGTGGCACATCGGCGTGGCACATCGGAAAAGTAGAGCAGCAGATTTAAAAATGGTTGAATAACACCCAGCTCCGTCATTGGAACATTCGGCAAATGGAACACGAAGCAATCACTGAGACCACACCCGAACCCTTGCAGCAGAGAGAGAGCCGAGGCTTGACAGTGTCTGCATTAAGGGGGCTCACGCATTTCCCCGTCGCTGCTGGCAAAAGCGTGATAGGATCAGGTGTTTCAAGGGGGCAAGACCTGATGCAACTGCACCCACCCGTCGCGTTGGCGTTGTAGAGGAAGAGGCCGTAGTACAGGTCGAATGAGTCATGACTGGTGTTCTCCACGAGGTTCAGCAGCGCCTCAAAGCCCCGCGTGTTGATGTCAGTCGACGACAGCTCCATCTCGCCCAGCATGCGGCCCACCTGCGGCGGCGCGTGCGGGCGCGGCGGGAGCGGTTGAGGGCGGGTGAGGCTGGAGCAAGGGGTGGGGGCCCCGTGTAATTCACAGGACGGTGCGCAGAGGGCTGCGTGTGAAATTTGCTGGCAGGTCGCTGCACTCGGAACGCCGAAACCCCGCCCTGTGAGGCCAGGGGTCTTAGGAGCTCGAAAAACCTGGCTACCCCGCTGGCAAAACGCAATGAACGTTCATGCCACGCAACGGGTTCACGTATGGCTTCAGGCGCATGGACGCCGAGGGTTAAGGCGTGAGCCCTGTGCACCACGCACCGTGTGCGTGACGAACTGCGTCGACGCGGCCTGCCTGTCGTGCTCCTCACACGTCATCTCCACCATGCGGCAGCCCTCAGACCGGAAAAACTGGGGTGGGCGGGCAGGCAGGCAGGCGCCAAGGTGAGCCGGTGCCAGCAGGATCGAGCTGCTGACAAGGCGACGCCATGGCACGCCAACGCGGGATGCGATGCAGCGCACGCGCCAGCCCCAGCTGGTATCGAGTCCTGTTCCAGAAGCAGGCTCTTCGGCGCAGCCACTAGCCCTCCAAACATCAAAGCTGCCCCAGCTTCACCCTGGCTTCACGCTGTGCAGACCCGCGCTCACCCGCAGCAGGTTCTCTATCCGCGCCATCCGCCCGGCGTCGCCCCCAACCCTCACGACCTCATACATGAAGTTGAGGCCCCTCCAGCTGCCCTTGCCGCTGTCAGGACCAAACATGGGGTGGGTGCATAGGATGTCCATTTCTGGGGGCAGCTCCCGCAGTAGCAGCTGCTTGGGGAACGCCTGAGTTGGGGGAGTGTTGGGAGCGCAGCCTCGGGATTTAGGCAGCGGAATGGTCAGGAGCATCCCTTTAGAAATTACAGGATGCCTGGAGCCAGCTGGCAAAACAAGTAATGAGGAGGCTGCCCGGACGCGGCTGGATTGCAACGAGTCAGTACAGCACATACATGCAGGACGGCGGCACGGATCCCTGCGCTTGGGCCCGGCCCCTGTGCGGAAGCTGCGCCCACCTTGACCGAGAGGACGTCGACAAAGAGGGTGTTGCGCTTGAGCCGCTGCACGGGCAGGGACCGCAGCACTGCCGCGGTTGAGAGGATGGATGAGCAGAGGATGACGACCTCTGGGTGCTCCTCGCAGAAGTCGTCCACATCCTGGTGTGTGTGTGTGCGTGTGTGTGTGCGTGTGTGTGTGTGTGCGTGTGTGTGTGTGTGTGTGTGCGTATGAGTG